ATTTCATGAGCGAAAATGAAGACATGGCGGCCAATCAGTTGTCAAACATTATCCTTTGGTTGTTTGACATAGCCATGGAAAATCATCACTTTTAATAGGCGCACCATCTATAAATGGGTCATTTTCCATAGCTAGGTTGAATAGCCAGAGGGTATCAAGTACCGTCAGCATATAAAGTGATTGTGTCCAGAAATCTCCAGGATTCCAGGATGACTGATACCCTCGCATGTTTGGAGTGATTCTCACACTAACAAACTTTGGTCTGAAAACAATACCTTCTGGTAAACTAACATAGCTATGGAAAATCACATTTTTAATGGGCAAATCAACTATGAATGGCAATTTTCGATAGCTATGTTTGTTTACCAGAGGGTATCTGAAAACAATGGCCAGGCCTGCACTTCCCCAAAAACAATCATGAAAGTCTGAGGGAAAAGATGATCAACAATCAAATTTGCCAATAAACACCATGGCTAAATGGCTAACCATTAACACCACCTGGCAAAAAAATATCGTAAGTGGAATATACTATTCCATATGGATAAATAATCAATAGTCATGGACCTGCGACCTGCAACAACATGATTTTGGTGCATTAGCATTCAATAAGTACCTTCAATCGTCGCTCTATTTTTCTGGTTGGTTGAGAGCAGGGTTCAAATTCTTAGAGCGAATAAACCATAATTTGTTAATTACATCCCCATATTCGTTAAGACTAAGACTTAAAACCTCTAGAACTGATGGCTATATCCTCAATAAATACATTAATTTATCAACAAGGGTCAACTGGACACTGCTCATTTCGGCAGCCCAGTCACGCTTTCCTTCCATCCGCGCTTCGTTACCTGCGACTTGCAGGGCGTGCGGAGTTTTTTGTCCAAACAACATCCAGGGTATTCGAACACCACCCATACCAGTAGTACCGCGCAAGGCGGTGGCGGAAGTTTCAGAAATAGGAAACCTATAGGAGAGCCTGGTTGTTGTGAATCACGGATGGCAGTGCGAAGCCACCGATGGACCGACAGGTGGTTAAGGTCTCCTCTCCTTCTCTCTCTTTCTTTCTCTTTCTCTGACTATCTACCTACCTACCTACCTATCTCTCTCTCTCTCTCTCTCTGTCTGCCTGTCTGTCAATCTATGTATCTATCTATCTATCTATCTATCTGTCTGTCTGTCTGTCTGTCTGTCTACCGATCGATCTATCTATGAATCTATCTATCTATCTATCTATCTATCTATCTATCTATCTATCTATCTATCTATCTATCTATCTATCTATCTATCTATCTATCTATCTATCTATACATCTATCTCTCTCTGTAAATCTGCCTATCTATGTATCTATCTACCTATCTATCTATCGATCGATCTATCTATCGATCTATCTATCGATCTATCTATCGATCTATGTATCTATCGATGTCTCTCTGTCTCATCTAATTACCAATCTCTTCTATCTGTCTATCTATCTATCTATTTATCTATTTATTTATCTATTTATTTATCTATCTATCGATCTATCTATATTTCAAGCTATCTATCTATCTATCTATTTATCTATTTATTTATCTATCTATCTCTCTCTCTCTCTCTGTCTGTCTGTCTGTCTGTCTGTTTATCTATGTTTCGATCTATCTATCCATCCATCCATCCATCCATCTATCCATCTATCCATCTATCCGTCTATCCATCTATCCATCTATCCATCTTTCCATCTATCCATCTATCTATCTATTCTTATCTTATCTTATCTTATCTTATGCATCTATCTATCTATCTATCTCACCTATCAAGCTATCAATCTATCTATCCATTTATCTATCTATCTTTCTATCTAATCTATCAAGCTATCTATCTATCTATCTATCTATTTATCTATCTATCTCTCTCTCTCTGTCTGTCTGTCTGTCTATCTATCTAGCTATCTATCTATCTATCTTATCTTATCTTATCTTACCTATCTATCTATCTGCAAGCTTGAAAACGAAGATATTCTGCGAGACTTGCTCAGTTTGTAAACTTGACAACATCAAAAACCACAGCAATGCAGGGAGACTTCCTCAATTTTTGCACTTGACAACATCAAAAACGAAGCACTTCTGCGAGACCTCCTTCAAAAATGGAAAGTTGAGTGCAGAGTTGACGGCCTCGTACCAATGCGTTTTGCGATTTTTCCAGTCCATTTGTCTATAAAAACTATCGCGCCTGCCCCGAAAAAGCGATGCCAGGTCATACGAAGTGCTGCACACCTGTCACGCAAAATCATCTCAGCAAACCTGAAGATCTGATGCTCCAAAATGCAACCCCTCTGAGGAAATCAGCGCCCTGACCTCCTAACATCTCTGATGAACATGTCTTTTGCACTGCGCCTGCCACGCGAAATGCATCTTTGAAGATCCTCTTCAAATGTCCCACGCCCGCCATCGTTTTTGGAAATGCTACAAAACCCTCACGTTTTGCTCACTTTTGACACGGTGCACAATCCCTTGTGCGAAAGCACATCTGAACGTCCAAAAATGCTCCGAACCCCTGGCGTTCTCAACATTTTGACTTGGAAATGTGCTTCGCGCCACAACGGCGTGCACCTTTTCGACATCTCAACTTCCAAAAGTGCTCCGAGCATGGTGTGTTTTGTCATGTTTACTTCGAAATGTGCTTCGCGCCACAACGGCGCGTAATTTTTCATCTCTCATCCGGCCAGCTGGCTCTGCACCCGCCGCTTTAGCGAGCCTACTTTTCGATACTTTAGAACCACAAATCATTGGAAAAAAACACAGTGTTTCGCGACTTTCCTACCTTTTCGGGCACCTGGATCATGGATCTTCTTTCTTCTGAGACTTTCTCTTTTTGATCTTCTTTCTTCTTCTCTTCTCTTCTCTTCTCTTCTCTTCTTTGACTCTTACCACCTCTGCTTTTCATCTGTCCATATTGTCGGAAGTTTGACTTCTAAACTTCCTTCGAAGAGATATTGTGGGGATACTATGGGAATATGAAGGATGATTGTATGTTGTGTATATGTTGTGCATATATATATAATTAGATACAATTAGATATTTTGATAATCATGTCACTACAAATAAATAAACTGCAATATGATATATAAATGGTGTATTGCATGGAACTTTGTCTAAAAGACCGGTAAGTACCCCAAAATCACATCTTTCACCGGTAAGCATTTACAATTGCCATGCATGGATGGTCAATAAGATCAACAAAATCATGAGGATACCGCAAGATACCACCAATAAGAGCTCTGTTACCATTGTTGTGCGCAAAAAAATGTATCCATTTACCGCTTGATGCGAACATGTTGGATCCCATCTTTCACAAAGTGTGAGAAAATGTCCCAACAGTGCCTACTGGACAAGGATGAACATGTGAGGATAGGTCAAAACTTACGGTGCAACAAGTACAATTGTCAGGTTTGTCAGGGAATGAAGGCCCATTCATCAGCTATTTTCATGTTCACTGGGAATATGGCACAGGCTTTTTCGGTGACTCTTGGGTCCACGTTCAACACCCATGGAGCGTCTTCCTCGCAGGGGACCTATATATTTATTGTGTTCAACAGATTCTACGTCTCCATCATGGTAAAGTCGCATAGAGGATCCACAGGGATACGTTAATCTTGGATGGGTTACAATGGTTACATTTCTTTGCGAGCAGACCGAGGAGCAAATGCTTTGCAGGGTCCCACCATCGCACCATTCCTGGAATGGCCAGAGACCACTATGGAGGTTGCGCATTCTGAGGTGAGAATGATTAGGATGTTGTTTCGTCTTGAATTTTAACCGCCAAAAGGATGCCGAAAAGAATAGTATGTCCAGGATGGTTTGTTGATGTTCTCTCCATCATTTTCGGGTTTCCAACGTTTCTATCTCGTTGGGGGTTGCTATATAACTAACAGAAAGAAACAAGGTAGCAAGGCATGGGGAAGGTGAGGCCAGAAGTCAAAACAATATGGCCGTGCCGGCGTTAAATCATGGAGTCAATCCACCATTTCCAGGTACCCAGGTACCAAATGAAACGATGCTAATGATGCAGCTTCAGAGTGGCTGAGACGTTGCCAAAAGGCAACAGTTGAGACTTCAGGCTTCCAGGGAGTTTTCATTTTGTGGGGAGCAACCACTATGGCAAATCAAATTGAACCAGCGAAAGCTGGAATTTCACCCTGGATACAGCTCTTGCTTCTCCACCCCGCCAGAGAAAAAACACCACATTATGAATTCCATCATGTTCAGTCCCTTCTTGTTCATGTCAACTCCGCATGAAAAAGCCTTGGCTAATTTGTTAGGCTGGCTATCCCCAAAAAAGTGATCATTGGCGACTGAACTGGTCTTCCCCACTTCAACAGCCAGTTCGGAACGAAAATCTCTGGACAAATTCAGATCATTGGCTGACACTTTGATTCCCCGATGTTGATGATTTCCCCATGATATCAGCATTTATTTACTTATTTATAATTATTTTATAGATGTTTTTCCCATGTTAAACCTTCATTTCATCTTCGCAGCCATGCCCTCCGTGTGCTCAGCGCCAAAAACGGGGCCTGAACGATCCAGGTCTCGTAGACCTTCTGTGCCTTTTTCAGCTCCAGAGCCTGTAAAGATCCATGGACTTGTGACGTGTCTTCGAGTGGATATAATGAATATGCTATTCTACATGTGTATGTACATAATGTGAATTATATATAATCATTATGTGATGCGTGTATATATATATATTATAATTATATGCAAATACATATATATATATATATATTTCATATATATATATAAACAATAATAAATACGTGTCCATATATATATATATGCTATTGTGTGTAGACATTATGTGTCTATCTAATGTAACAAATATAATACGAATATATATATATATATATAAAGAGCAACATCGATCAGTCCATACGTTTGATGATCTGTCTGCCAGCCTTGATGGAATGGACACATGGCGACGGATATAACAACTATGCACCCCGAGGAAATGTGGAAATTTTGTTTCATGTTTTTTTGTTGATATATGTTTGTCGTTAAGATTCTGTACCTAATTAATCCTAATAATATGTATAATTATGTATACAGTATATATATTTCACCAGACAATTTTGTCCAAACCCATACCCACATGAACAACTATGGACAAATAACTAGTAATTAAAGTGTTTACATGTGTTTACCCATTCAAAATCAATTTGGAGTGTCACACAGGTGTGCAAGTTGTGTTGGCCAAGCCCAGCGCATCAAATTGGATGTTCGAACCTGAACTAGGGGACTGGTCCACATGACTAAATAACGAGGGCCCCACAAATCCATCAAACATCACCATATTTGGAGCCCCTCGAACTGGTTCAATTGTTTCTATTCGGTTCTACCGCAATGATAATTCTCAACAGAAACGTGGGCAGGGGTTTGGAGCACGTGGAAGTGGGTCCCTGCTAGGATTGGGTGCCACTTCGCTGGGATTGCTGGTGGGATATGGCTTTGCGATTGAAAAAAGTACAGTATTCCAATCCATCCACTGGTCCATCATGAGTATCCCTACTACCCTCTGGTAAACTAACATAGCTATTGCAAATTGCCATTTATAGTGGATTTACCCAGCTATAAAATGGTGAATTTCCATAGTTATGTAAACTTTTACCAGAGGGTATCATGTGATAGCCATTGGGAGGGGATGAATTCCCCATTTTCAGAGACGCCAATATTTACAGTAAAAAACACACGGGCAAAGACATGACATGACATGACCCATCAACCAACCATTCAACAAGATTTGGCCAGTCTTGGCAGTTGCTTTTCAATTCCTTGCGGCCGAAACTATGATTTGTCCATGTGTATGCCTCTTCAAAATGGTCATATTTGGCTGTGTCTGAAAATACGGTGCACCTCTAAATCCCATGGTTTTTCACAGTTTCCAGACAGTTTCCATTGTTTTTCCTTTTTAAAATGGCAAGTGTTATGGGTTTAATTCCCATGTCCAGGTGGAAAATCATAAGTTGCAAAGGTCCAAGAGCTGTGGAACAATTCGCCCAGCCACGCGCTCGCCATGCTTGAAAGTTTGAACCAAGTTTGGATGCGAGATCCTAGGGGGCGAGTAAGCCAAACAGCGGGTAGCTGGGAGAATAAACAAGGTGGTGCCCAGTTCATTAGCTAAGTTGGTGAACATAACTACAATAAGTTTCGGGTGTATGGTAGATGTAAACCAACTTATGGTTTATAAACCAATTGACAACTATGGTAGATGTTTATTGGAATTATTACCATTTATATACCATTTATGATTTATGGTTTTACCATATATATATAATTTAAATTAATTTAATACACGTACTATGGTTATAAACAAAAAAACGTCACTGGGGGACCTTTGAGGACCGTGAAACATCTGTGCCATGGCCACTGAATAACCATGGCAAACATGAGGATACATTGAATCAATGAGTTGCCGTTATTCAATCATACTTTGGTATAGAAGTAATACATTTATGTGCACATATTCAGGATATGTTCATCCGATTCAGTGTATGCAAACAACACACAAAGTTTCACCATAAAACAGGTGACTCTGCGCAAACCTCTAAACCAAACAACTCTCCTTTTTTTTCGAAAAAAACAACTAAGAGTGAAGCCAAACAACTGGCAATACCTCATTCCCAATCTTTCCAAGAAAACACAACTCCGATCATCGCCAATGTAGTTTACATATGTTCATCTGAGAGATTTATCACAACATCTTTGATCCCAGATTTCAGGCATGTTTGATACTAAAAATATGTCACAAAACTCGTGTTTGCGCCTCCAAAACTGACTGCTGGTTTCAACCCCCAAGAGTTTCAAGTCTGCTCGTCAGGATCATCGATCAAACATCATCCAAACAAATCCCTGGCTCTATCCCCATAGAATGGCATTTAACAACCAAGCAGTTGGCAAAGGTTGATTATTTGAGGCCAGGATATCCCCATAAGAAAAAAATGGGCACAATACATCAATGGATTATAATATAATATTATAATCAGTAAACTGATAGTAAATGGCATACAATCCATCACAAAACGGGTTCGATTATATTCCCATTATTAAAACACATATAACCCCATACACAACCACCAATATGTATATATATATATGTATTAACTGTATATTAATCACCATTATATATCCCCATGATTAAAACAAACCCATTATAAAATGTTTATTCCCATTAGTAACAATAACCATCCACCATTTTATTGTCGCTTACCCTCCGGTAATCACCCATGGTCATGGAAAATCAAACACTTGCAGACAATCTTCCCATTCAAATCTCCATTTATATTCCCATTTATATATATTATATATATACATATGTAGTGTTGAATTCAATCAGACTAATGCATGGCCGCAGCGTGAAGCAGCAGTGGGCCGATGTCAAACAAAAAAATGTAGTAACATATTTATATATATATTCAATCTTCCCATCCAATTCACATTCAAAATATTTCCATTGGGATTTTCGATTGCCATGCTTGATCACGGGTTAAATCACCGAGGCTCCGCAGAGAGAGAATGGCCTCGAAGTGAGGTTTGGCGGTGAGTTCCTCACTTCGGTGCTGGACAAGTGGTATGGCCTCTGATTAGTTGCTCAACGAGGATCGAACCATGATTCGATATATATATATATATATTTATTTAGGTTTTGCGTGGATTTACTAATCATTTACAGAGGTTTGATATTTTTAATCGCCTATGATTTGGGATATACTTGGCAAATCATCGTTGTTTGGTTATTGATTTGGGGTTTATACTACCAACCCCCAAATAGAACAGTTGGACACTTGGAAATTATGGGAAAAAAAGCAGCTACAACACCTGACAAAAAAAATGTGCGGAACCCTGGCTTCTTGGGACTATTCTGGGTAATGATGATGGATTTTTGGGAAAAGGATTCACATACAGAGATTCATTGATGATTTATGAGGACGGAATCAGCAGCAGTAAGAGTGGTATTCACCAGCAACATGGGGATAGGAAACATGAGTCAAAACATGAGGGGTGTACCAAAGCAACCATTTTGTGAAAATAGCATCAGGGTACAATATGAGATTAAGTCTGGCACATGAAGGTGTTAGAGTCAGCCAAAATTCCCATCTCAGTAGGGTAGCTACCGTGTTTTCAGACATACCCACATCTCATGTACTAGAATATACCCTCTGGTTATTTAACATAGCCGCATAGCCATGGAAAATGGCCCATCTATAGATGATTTTCCCATTAAAACCTGCATTTATAAGGGATTGTCCATGGCTATGTTAGTCATAATTAACCAGATGGTATTTACAAAATGGATGGCCAGTCAGTGGCAAGTGAGTCTCTCCGGAGACAAAAACACCAAGACGACACATGGCCGGTGGTTTCCTAAGTCATAAGGCCCAAATCATCCAAGTCATGAACGACCATGAGTTAGGACGACTGGGGTACCCCCCCAGCCATTGGGAAACCTCCATATTAGGTGGTTTAAGTGGTACCAACCCACAGGCGATTGGGGGTGAAGTCGGTATGAGCTGAGCTGGGTCAACTGGTTGATGGATAAAGAACACGCCATAGATAATCTGAATTAACCGATTTCCAGCGAATATTCATATCACATACATATTAACCCAGCTTTGCAACCCAACAGCAGGCACAAAACTCACGTAAATCACTAGGGTGTAGATCTGCATCCATTATTGTTGGAAATCTAGAGCTATAGGCTTCATCTGGGAAAATGATCATGGGATGATTGCTCAAACTGATCATTACTAATAGTTACTCACCTTCAATATGCCGCACCGCACCTCGAGATCTTTCTGATTCTTCTTGGTTATCACCGTTTTGATGACCTACCCGGCGGCTGCTGCCCGGATCCTCGTTCAAAGTTGTGGTAATTTTACGCTATGAGAAATGGAAATGGCCCGTTCATTGATGATTTGCCTCTTCAACATGGTAACTTTCAGCTGTGCCAAATTAGCAGAGGCTACTGGATGTGTACCCTGTACTGGGATTTGGTTGGGAAACACCCCCTGCATGGAGAACTTTTCTCGACGAAAAAAGAGCGTCCGAGGGTTTTCCCAAAATCCACCAAGAAACTCCTACAGAGTGATACATCAGAATCCATGAACTTTTATTGTGCTAGACTTTTCTGGGGATAAACATCCATTTGGCAGCTATTCTATGCTGTTCACCAGGGTACCAGGGTGTTGACCCATAGATTTTGCAGCCAGCTCAGTGGTTAGTGACTGGGGTAGCCGAAGATTCTGCCTTGGATATTCCATGGGATAATGACAATGTAAACGGTTTCTAGCCACAAATCGTTACAATCAAACGACATCAGAGTAAAAATCATTCTCAACATGTCTTATCATATTCTGTTTTTGTTTATTGATGATAGATATCCTTGCTCTTATCTTCCATCATTAAAAAGCATCTCGAAAACAAACATGTGCCGCCCAATTAAATCCAGTTATCACCCAAAAAGGTCGCCATTGATAGAACTTATTGTTCCTGTATTTTGTTCCCATCCATCGCAACGTGTCGTCAGCGGTTTTTTAGCTTCGCGCCTTGCATGCGACAGCTGCACCGCTCCAAAGAGAGAAGTACACGCATCCGAAGGAACCCTGTCCCACCAACCGCACCAATCGCACGTCCTGTTCTCAGGTCTCCAGCTTTATGCCATTTCTACATGGAGGCTATGGTTATACTAACCAGTTACTAAGTAGGATGATCCTCCAAATAGAGGGGTTGGAAATAGCTGGTTGGTTACGTAAAGTGCGATTCCAGTGGTTTGTCGTTCATTTGAAGATGCAATGAACATGTATGAACATGTAATATCCACCGAACAAAATCGAAAGTGTCAACGTGACGAACCAACACTCACAATATCAACCCTGACTAAACTCTACTGAACTGTCTCCTCAGAAAAAGATGGAAACAGTAGAAAGATACATGTGAATAGGAATCTTTTCGAGTGACCCTCGAAAGTACTTTCCCATCGTACAGTTTTTTTTTATGGTACTTGAACAGCGAAGTCACAGGTGTCCTGGAATGGAGGGGTTGGCGGCTTTGTTGTCAAGGGCTCATCGTCGCGAAAGACCTTCAATGAGGGAGTCCTGGATGGGTGCAGCAAGCGGGTCATGGTTTTACACCTTGAAACAACGTGGAACTACAAGAGAGAGAGAGAGAGAGTAATCCATGTATGCATATTATATATATATATATATACATGTGCTGCTTATGTATATATAAATAAATATATATATATATATGTATTATATATATATGTATACTATATATAATATGTATATTCTATACATGATTATCTATCTATCTATCTATATATATATTAAAAGAAATACACATATATATATATATCTATTTACATTTGGATATTATGAACAAACCTACAGTATATATATAAGTTGCCAACTTGATGTTTTGAACACGCCAAAGACCGAGAGATATCACCCCCCCCCCAAAAAAAAAACTGCTGCTGATCGAACTCACAATCATCTCTGGTACCCTCTGGTGACTTAATATAGCGATGGAAAATGAACCATGGATACATGAAGTAGCTACGTTAAATACCGTTACAGAGGCTAGGAAGACATTTGAATTAAATGACGTTCTTGTTTACCATCAAGAACACGCGTTCATGCGTTAAGTAGTTGCACCATTAGTTGCGCATGTTCATTCCGCACATGCTAGAACATGTATCATGTTTTTCAATCAACAGGTCACATATGTATAGATGTCTGATGGTGTCTAGTGTCTAAAGTGTAAAGTGTAGCTAGAATAATGTAGTATGATATCAATCGATACACATATATTTATATATACATAATCATATATAATGATATCAAATAATATTTAATAATATTTAATATATATATATATATGTATAGCACAAACACACCTGGATACAATATACGATTATATACAGTACACAATGAAATAGAACTAACAAATGGTATAATACAATACACATCTAAAATAAGTGAATATCATAATATGTAAACAATATGTACCATTTTCTGGGAACAAAAACATATGTCTGACTCCACATATACAAAAGATAGTATAAATATATATGCATATATAAAATATATATATATGATATGTAACATACTCATGGTATACAGTATATGGAGATTTCCTATGGGGGTACCCCAACATCATCCATTTATAGATGGATGAAATCATCCAAGACTCTCAGACTGACCTGGCGAATCCGGCGGACACGGCCTGGCAAAAAAAAAGCGGTCGGCCAGGCGGCCAGGCCGCGACGGAGAAGTCATATATCGTGATGAGTGATGGTTAATGATGGTTAATGATGGTTAATGATGGTTAATGATGATTAATTGATGGTTAATGATGGTTAATGATGGTTAATGATGGTTAATGATGATTAATTGATTTTTAATGATGGTTAATGATGATTAATTGATGGTTAATGATGGTTAATGATGGTTAATGATGGTTAATGATGATTAATTGATGGTTAATGATGGTTAATGATGGTTAATGATGGTTAATGATGGTTAATGATGGTTAATGATGGTTAATGATGGTCAATGATGGTTAAAGATGGTTAATGATGGTTAATGATGGCTAATGATGGTTAATGATGGTTGATGATGGTTAATGAGGTTAATGATGGTGAATGATGGTTTATGATGGTTAATGATGGTTAATGATGGTTAATGATGGTTAATTATGGTTAATGATGGTTAATGATGGTTAATGATGGTTAATGATGGTTAATGATGGTTAATGATGGTTAATGATGGTTAATGATGGTTAATGATGGTTAATGATGGTTAATGATGGTTAGTGATGGTTAATGATGGTTAATGATGGTTAATGATGGTTAATGATGGTTAATGATGGTTAATGATGGTTAATGATGGTTAATGATGGTTAATGATGGTTAATGATGGTTAATGATGGTTAATGATGGTTCATGATGGTTCATGATGGTTAATGATGGTTCATGATGGTTAATGATGGTTAATGATGGTTAATGATGGTTCATGATGGTTCATGATGGTTAATGATGGTTAATGATGGTTCATGATGGTTAATGATGGTTAATGATGGTTCATGATGGTTAATGATGGTTAATGATGGTTCATGATGGTTAATGATGGTTAATGATGGTTAATGATGGTTCATGATGGTTAATGATGGTTAATGATGGTTAATGATGGTTAATGATGGTTAATGATGGTTAATGATGGTTAATGATGGTTAATGATGGTCAATGATGGTTAATGATGGTTAATGATGGTTAATGATGGTTAATGATGGTTAATGATGGTTAATAATGATGGTTAATGATGGTTAATGATGGTTAATGATGGTTAATGATGGTTAATTGATGGTTAATGATGGTTAAACATGGTGAATAATGCTGACTGATGATAAATATTTTATGGTTAATGAATGTTAATGATGATTAACAATGGTTGATGATGGTGAATAGTAACGGTTAATCATGCTTAACAATAATGGTTACTGTAATGATGAATCTTACTGATATATCCATGAAAACAATGGACATACTCATAATAAATAAATGACACCAATAATTTTCATATTAATCAATATTGATTATGAGATGGAAATAATGCGTACTTGTACTAACTATAACTGATAATCGTTTACAACTTTTCATGATTCACAACGCTTAATCATGATGATTAATGGAAAATGGTTATCCGAAGCCTAAGGTAGACTTATCCATATTATCCTTGGATAACTGGCAGTTAGGCTTATCCATATCCAAAGTGATACAAGATAGATGTGGAAACCAATTGGTTTCCTGATCGGAACATTAACTACAAATATGTAGTGGCTTATCCATGTCCATAAAAGTTTTATGACCGGATAATTGACTATCCATGGATTCCATATGATAGATATCAGGCTTAATTAATCTGACATCCTAATCGTACATCCAAAGTTATATGGATCCATCAACCAGCCTGTCAAGGCTAGCGTCTTGGGGCCCAATGGCTTGGATAGTTACTCCTATTGACGTCGCATTGAGGCTGTTGATCTAGATCTATGATCCTCCGTTTGGGACCCTTACATTTGACGTATGATGAAATTTGTGAAATAGTTACTTAGAGAATTATCCCACTTGGCAACTTGCAAAAAAACTATGGTTACCGCATTTAGATATGCCCATACGAAAAAAGGGGACAAGTCGGATCACAGTCGGTCTCGTCTCACCAGCTCTGATTCCTGAATGATCCTCGTTGGTCAAAAACGTCCCGTTTTGGATTTTGAAGATCACTTACTTTCAACTGGTTGGTGGTTGAGACACCCCTCTGAAAATATGAGTTCGTCAGTTGGGGTTACTATTCCCAATATATGGGAAATAAAAAATATTAAAACAATGTTCCAAACCACCAACCGCTTTCAAGTATCGGTTAGAGATTACATCATATTATATATCCGAAATAGTGCGATGGGAACATTTACCCCAACTCAGTATGACACAAAATTGCCTCATCGGTTGTGCCAATTTAGGCAATCCAATGGCACACAAATCACCGATTTCTGGTGATGGACGAGTCGAATCTTAGTCCTGTTGCATCCTGTCATGTTGGAATACTGGTTGGTGGTATACCTACCCCTCTGAAAAATATGAGTTCGTCAGTTGGGAAAACCACCATATATGGAGCAATAACCACCATATATGGAGTAATATTATTCCCAATATATGGAAAAATAAAAACATTCCAAACCACCAACCAGATTCGAGTATTGATCCTACCCGACAGTCCGACAGGCATCCAAAACGGACCCAAGGCCCAGCTCTGCACGTACGGCCCGGGTACTTGGTGAAGAGATAAAAACAACGAATGTGTGAAGTAAATTGCTTAGGATTAGAACCCCTCGTAACTGATACATATACATTATATATAATATATGTATATATCCTAAAATAATACATAACACACATATAATTTATCTACATATGATAATACATATATATATATTATAATCATGTCAAATATATATATATCATAGATAATATATATATATTATCTATAAGATCTAAAAGGATCTAAAAAGGTACCTACAAGCCGTCATACACCTACCCAATTCAATGGGAGTAGACTGACGCGTGGGACCATCATGGACCATCCCACTCGATATACTCCGAGATGATCCGCCTGGGCGACTGGATCTCCGGCAGATTCTCCTCCTTCTCGGGAACCATTTGAATGAAGAACCAATGACCATCCGCAGCAAAGCCCTTTGGGTGCGGCCACTTTTCCTGGTGAAATCAAAGGGATCAACAAAAAATCTTTGGCCGATAAAACATGCTGATATCCAGTATATGATATGTATATGTATAATTACATGTGTATGTAAATTTACCTATATATATATATATGGATGTAACATGATGTAACCAACCTAAAACCGCCAAAAATCGCTGCTCCGGAATGCCCTGAAGATAGATACTGATTTGTTGTGAAGGCTGAGAGCAAGCAGCTTTGCAGAAAGTCATTTGCTTCAAGAAATCTACCAAATGGTTTGTGCACTTGTGCATCCAAGTCACACTAGTTTTGCATGCACGTCCAAGACATCCCGTTGCTGCAAATGTAGGCGAGAATGATATTAAAGATCAAGCTTTTAATTGAAGGTTTTAATGAGAAAACATTGGAAAACACATTTATAACATTCTATAAATGATTATAAATGGGACAAACATCTTAAGCACTGCAGCATTGTCTCCCATCTGACCATGTCTTTGACAAACTCAGCGGCAAGCCGCTGCCCAGACTCAATTGCCATGCCATATTCGCTACAGTTTTGACACAGTACACGATGGAAGATGGTCTTACCGGGCATTTGCAAATATATATATATATATTTACAGAGAGGCTTCCATCTCAAACGATACCTTCAAAAATCATCGCACATGATACCCTCTGGTATACTAACATAAACATGGAAAATCACAATTTTTAATGGGTAAAATGGTAAAACTCACTATAAATGGCCATTTTCAATAGCAAACTAGTCATAACCAGAGGGTAGTACTTTCTGACTCCGAAACTGGTGTCGATTTCGTCGTCTCCAAGGGCTTCCCTGCCCATCCGCATGGTTGGGAATTTCTTTGGGAACCCACCTAGGTGTGGGTACACCCAAAAAATAATTTCATTGACTCACCATAAATGGTTGCTATACACCCTCCAAAATTGGAGGTCTATTATTGGGTTCACGTGGCCTTATCACTTTGTTAACACATCTTTTGTTGCAATTGCGGCAAAAAATGATTCGTTCCCGCACACTGTGCGACGAAGCATCCGTGCTGTGAGCGAGCCCATGGTTTTTCACCACTGCCGCGCCCTCTCCTTGGAGACTGGAAATGGTCATCATACAATGATCAATGCATGATTCATGAGGATAACAAACCCGTGTCCCACAGAAACTCAAGATGCACACCACAAACCACTATATAATAGCCACGGGCATTAATCAACCATACACTTGGAGGTACCTACACATAAGTTTGCGGATTGCCCGCAGAATGGTACCCAATTTATGGCAATGTTCTAATTGGGAAAATATTGACTCTTCAACTTCAAGACTGTCTCACGAGTTTGTGGGTTTTCCATAATTTCCAATGTTTTTCTTCCCAACAGTTTTTAGTACCAAACCCAATTATCATATTGGTGATAGTTTTGTTTCAGGAAAAAACACATCCCTAAATTGTATCCCCATATGGCCCATATGTGTTATATATAAATGAACAAAGAAAAACAACACAAAACCATGCCGTTGGTATCCGTTGGTTCTCAACCCACTATATGTATTTGTTCCAGCATCATATACCATGATATCCCCATAATTCAACATAATTCCAAAGAAATCCCATAATGGTCGGATCCATTGGTTAATATCTCCATATCCTAAACATGGCTGGTTAATGTTGGTTGGATGTTTAGAATCCCGTGATCCTGGAAGTCCAACTGGGGCCCATCCGGCCTGCATCAAAGATTGCTGACTTGCTGGAAACTTCCCTTTTGCTTGTGGAAGATTTGACCGGTGATGAGTTTTGGGGAATCTTCCTTAGTATAATTTGAATGTTCTTTTCTGAGCGTTCAGTGAGATTGAACACAGGATTGAACGACCCACCCACATCATTCCAGAGTATTCCCATCATCTGGATCAATAATAATTCATAATAATTCCCCTTGACAACTTCTTTGTTGGGCTTCACATCTTGCCAGTTTTTGGCCCGACCTTGGTCGGGCACCAAGGCTCCTAAGGGCATCTCCGCCGGGGTGAAACGACAACTCAAAAGCTTCGAGACCGACGACGATCTGGGCGACTTCCTCGGAAGTCGAAATTTCCAGGGCCACGAAGCCGGGCCCCAAATTCGGCTTCCTTAAAATTGGGCTCCTCAATATAGGCCCTTTGAGGCTACCCTCTGGTAAACTACCATAATTATGGAAAATCACCATGTTTAATGGTCAAACTCACTATAAATGGCCATTTTCAATAGCTTTTTGTATGTTTACCAAAGGCTAGTTTTGGACCCTCATAATAACAACAAATGGCATGTGGTCTTTGTTTTTAGGGTCCCCAGATTTCCAACTAACACGGCCATCGATTCGACCCGCCCGAAAAAAGATCAACGGCACCCCTGAAACAAAACAAGTCCGAACCGTTTATTTTTTTTGGGATCAGGTTGAGGATTAGGTGGAAAGGATTCATATTATCCAATACAGTATCTATGTATGTATATATATATATATATTTATACATATGATATGTATATATATATATATGTATATATATATATGTATATATATATATACATATATGTATATGTACCTATATAATTATATATTTTATAGGGCTATCGGGAACATGTTTAATTACTGTTTACAACAAAACTCGTTTAACGAGTGGATTTATGCTGGACATCTCAAACTAGTCAGTTGAATGGGAGAACATTGACCAACGTATAGCTAGGGGCAGACCTTGCATCCGTCATGATTGTTGTCCATCAAACTGTTGCAAATTTTGGGTATATTGAAAAACATATTGGATCAACCCAACATAAAACCTCATAACATAGATAACATACGTGTCATGCCTATCATTGCTGAACGGGTATATTGAATTTCAGGGACAAATCATGAAAAAACGCCCTGTGGCACGGTGGTTTCATCCAATTCCGGGAAATGCGGCAAGTGATTGCATACACTGGAAAAAATATGGATATCAACCAGCAATTGGACTACTTCTGATCTTGCACTTCTGGCATGGGTGAAGATGGGATGGGATCTACAAATATTGTATTGGGTATGTCACAAAGAATTCCTGAATAATGTACACATATCTTCAGGTATTCAGCCAATTTAACCCAACCCCAAAGCCAAGCGTCAAAGAAACCAAGATGGCAAAACCTGGTTTGCTGTCTTGACGCTCTCCCTGCATGGCCTGTAACACTACCTGGCTGGGAGAACACAAGAATAGATGACCCCCCATATGTGGTTTATTATTCCGTAGCCATTTTGGCTCAAGGTTTTTAGGCTCTGGGCCCGAATCCTACCAGGGGGGTAGAGCGGTCCTGGCCAAACTTCGGGCGGGTAGATTAAGCCATGGGCGTTTCATCCAATTTCCTGGAACCTTCGTTTTCTGACCTTTCGGATGGCCAGCAGACAGATGTGGTGGCACAGGTTTTGATTTTCTGCCCTGGGGCCCATGTTTGCAGATCTATGGTCAACCACCAAGTTTTCCTCACCAATGCTCCGATCAATAGAAACACGATGAAGATGACATTATTCAAGGTATCTTTCCTGAATGGTCGTAGGCCTTGGTTGGATTTCAGAAGTGATTCTTTTTTGCTAGAGCATCAGTCGACAAACATTGAGAAGCTTCAGCAGTTGATCGAGGGATGTGCAGGAATCGGGGCAGTTGACGTTGGTTTCAGATTTTTGGGAGTTGACACATGCCTTTTCGTGGAGCAGAATCCGACCTTTTGCAAATGGGTGAAAGACAGGTACTCAGTCCAAGTGATTCAAGGAGACATCTCAGCGTCAGCTACGGCGGCCGAAGTCGCAAAGCAGACCGGGTCTGGAAAGATGGTGAGCGCAGGTATCTCATGTCAACCGTTTTCACTGGATGATCATAGCAGGTCTTTCACTGGAACCCTTCAGTTGAGCTATCTTTTACAATCAGTCATGACCATTTTGGAATGTACCCCTCAAGCCAAGCGATCCCAATGGATTCAAAGCCATTTAGAATTGCACAGTAAGCTCACAGGAAGTACTTTCAAACAAGAGGTACTGCAGATGCATCACATGTGGCCAGGACGCAGGGACAGATGGTGGTGTACCATTGCAGCAGAGTATGTCCCGCTTGAAGACATTCCTCCCATGCCATCTCTGCGGTTTGATCCTTTCATTCTTCATCTCATCCCCAACATGATGGACAGTAACACATGCGACATGAAACAACTTGTACTTGATGATGATGAACTCAGTGCTTTCCAAACGGATGGAAGGGGTATCCGATCACATTGCATTAACACATGTAAGGGGATGCCAACAGGCAAGGGGATTTACGGAGTGCTTGTGCCGTTTGAGGATGCAAAGCAGCCTCACATGTCTCTCCGTGCGCGCCATTTACACCCGACTGAGGTATCACTGATGTGCGGACTCCCTCCGTCATACTTGCAAGCATCCGACACCAGCAACATTCGACTTGACCTGGCCGGAGTGGGTCAATGCGCATCGCCACTCCAATCTTTGTGGGTGTTTGCCAACGTTTTGTACCAATTGCAGGACAAAGGACTGGTTCAACAGGTGGAACATCCCAGGCATTCCCTAGCACAGTTTTGTCGAATTCTGCTGAAGGAAAGGGATGAAATTTGGCCACATGCTGACACGAAATACAACCGGATTTTCCAACATGAAATTAACAGCATTGATCATCCTTTTTGCTTTCCAAGTGTTGAGGAGTTGGATAACATGGAATTCAGGCCGAAAGGTGCAGGTGAAGCAAAGTTGGGCGCCCGAGCGTGTACAAAGATTCCCCGTGCCGGTTGTACAGCAAACACCGAACAGGATCCAAAACCCAACAACCTGATTGGAACCTACGAGACATCCATTCATGGAGCATCTGCACCAGACAGCGGGCCGTGTACAAAGTTCCCAAGGGATGCATCCGAATACCCTAGGAATGTTGGAATCCCAGAAGACAGACTTGCAGCCGAAGGGACGACAAACACAGATCGAATCTCTCCGACCGTAGTGGCGCCCATACCCGATGCATCCGACCATGCCATCATCTCCAAATGCACAGGACATCCGAATCCCGACCGCATCCGATGTACAGAAGCATCCAGGGTTGCATCCGATCGGTGTACAGATCACATCATCTCCAAAGACGCCGGACATCCGAATCCCGACCGCATCCGATGTACAGAAGCATCCAGGGTTACATCCGATCGGTGTACAGACCACATCATCTCCAAAGACACAGGACATCTGAATCCTGACAGCATCCGATGTACAGAAGCATTCAGTGTCGCATCCGAGCGGTGTACAGATCACATCATCTCCGAAGGCACAGGACATCCAAATCTCGACTGCATCCGATGTCCAGAATCATCCAGGGTTGCATCCGAGCGGTGTACAGATCAGATCATCTCCGAAGGCACAAGACATCCGAATCCCGACAAAATCCGATGTACAGAAGCATCCAGGGTTGCATCCGATCGGTGTACAGATCACATCATCTCCAAAGACACCGGACATCCGAATCCCGACCGCATCCGATATGAAGAAGCATCCAGGGTTACATCCGATCGGTGTACAGACCACATCATCTCCAAAGACACCGGACATCCGAATCCCGACCGCATCCGATGTACAGAAGCATCCAGGGTTGCATCCGATCGGTGTACAGATCACATCATCTCCAAAGACGCCGGACATCCGAATCCCGACAGCATCCGATGTACAGAAGCATCCAGGGTCGCATCCGATCGGTGTACAGATCACATCATCTCCGAAGGCACAGGACATCCGAATCCCGACAAAATCCGAGGTACAGAAGCATCCAGGGTTGCATCCGATCGGTGTACAGATCAACAGATGACATCCGTTGCATCCGGCCTGCAAAATGCATCCGTTCGCCGAGAAACCAAGCATGCATCAGATGCCTTTGCTGACCTAGGTGTTGATTCACGTGAAGCCCAACATGGCAATGTCAGAAGTGACATGGATGAAAGGCAGCCTCTTTCTGGTCCATCAGTTTCCACAACAAAAGCCAAGATGAATGACAGGATTGCCAAAGGCAAAGGTGGATACATACTAGCGAGCATTGCCCCTCATGACCAATCCTTGCCGACAAGCATCAACCCGGTGAAAGAAGCCTCGCAAGCAATGCAAATTACAGCCTTTTCCACCAATGGAGGGGTTACAGGCTTTGAAACCAGCAAAGCACCTGATTCACCGCCATCACTCAAGCGACCGGTAGAAGAGAGTGCAAGCAACAGCACAAAAAGAGCCAAGCTTGACAATCCAAATGCACCAGACCGAGTGCACCAAGACGGAGAACACCACCAAAATGAGCATCAACAAATATCCATGCAACAGGTCGAGCCTCCTGAGTCACAAATTGCCAACACCAAGACTTGCTGGATTGCTCATGAGAACGAAACCATGTTTCCCATTGCCGTTTCAACTGAGTCCACCATTGGTCAAGTAGTTTGCGCAGAAGCAAAATTCCAGCACCTCTGGAATCATGGCGATCACCCTTTCAAACCAGTTAATGGGGTGGGGTTCCAATTGTCAGTGTCCGAGATCATGCCAGACCATCAACTCCTAATTGTTCAGCATGGACATAACATTGGAGACCCAAAGGGCCAACCATGCCTGGATGGAATGAAACGTTCCCAAGCCCTTTGGCATCAGAAAGGATGGGTTGCGATGGATGAAATGATCTTTTACCTTCAGACAATACATGTTTCAGGGACAGCAGTCACCACCAGCCCTTTGGACTTGAGGCAAGAAACAGAAAACCCAAGAATCTTGGCAGATTGGATCCTCACGGCCGTTGAGAGCGCGCAGGAGTCCAAACAAATGAAACTCATGACTGCGGGTTTGTTCAAAGATCACTGGTTTCCAATCATGGTTGAAGTAGTCAATGACAATTTCACCATCACAACAACATATGATATGACGCCGGCAGTAACAGCATGGATCAAGGCTGAGATGCTGGAAGAATATCAGCAGGCAAGTGGAACACACATGCCCCATGCGTTTGCCAATGATTGTGGATTTCAGACCATTGCATGGATCATCAACCAAGCATTGGATCCGGACAGCAACCGTGCAATCTCTCCCGATGAAGCTGAGTCATGGAGAAAGAATTTTGCTCACCATCTGGTCTTGTCAGGAGCACATGATCCACCAGTATATGCTTTGCCGCTTGGAGGAACATCTGACCAGCACTTGCCAGCACTACGAGAACTCCTCGAAAAGCACGGAGTGAATAGCAACAGGTCATCACAAGCTGCACAAGCTTTGACGCAAAAGCTGGGAGCCGATGTGATCCAACGCACATTACAATCACCAAAGCCATGGCAGGACTTGAAAGCAAGAGCATCACAGTTGAAGCCTCCTTTTCGAATTGTCTTGAGTGAAGAACTTCAAGCCAGTATCGACAGCAAAATCGCATCGGGACAAGCCGTTGGCAGAAAGCAACACAAAGCAAAACAATCCAAGCCGCAGGAACCCCAGCGCCTCATTGCCGATCAGGTCCAGATCCCCAACACGATCTTCCAGCAAGCCGATGGAGTCCTTTTGCAACAGATTTCCCCTAGCCAATTCAAAGCCCAATGCAAAGGGATCGCGTGTGTATCCTTTGATGATGCTACACCCTTCCTGCAGTTGAAAGCGCCACTCACACAGGAAGGCCTAGGTTTGATTGTGCTTGACCATGATGATCCTCGCCTGCCATCGCATGATTTGGTACGTTTCCCAGCCACCTGCAAATCTACGGGTGAACCAATGTTGGTCATGGGAGCTCTTTTCCAGCTAGGCCAGAAACGAGTTCACAGAGCAACACCACAATCCGCAACCAAGATTGAGGAAGTGGAAACACGTGTCATCCGTGCACTGGTGTTTCAGGATCAGACCAAACTCAAATGGACCGATATCACGGACAAGCCGGTGCGAACTTTGTTTGCTGAAAGTGAGTTCACCGCAAATCCCGATTCCATCGTTGACGTTTGGGACCGCCAGTATGTGACAAAACAGTACAAACGATGCAAACCAGAGGAAGCAGAGATCTTCATTGTCACTTTCCGTGTCAAGTGTCCTGCCCATGAAGTCATCCTAGACGCCAGCGGTCAAGCAGGGAAGTACTTTGAACCGCGTGATCATACGGGTAGGTCCCCAGACACATCCTACAAAGTAATCTGGATGCCACGCAAAAATTTCCA